GTCATGAATCTATGCCAAAGCGCAAGTGTAGACCCCAGCCCAGTGCTTAGTACACTCGAGAATGCTTGCAGTGCACGGCTCTGCATACCACAGTGGAGTGTGCATCCTCTGCTGCCTTCCACTCCAGCATGTCTGGTTGCAGGAACTCTGTACAAGCTCAGGGTTTCCTGTGGTGGGCTCCAGCTATGAACCTAGGTGAGTTTCCGCCTGTTCCCCCTGCTGCCTCCTTCTTTCCTCCTCCTTCACTTTTTCTGGAAATACTGTCCTGATCACTTGCTGAGGAAAAAAAATTAAACTTTATTTATTGTGAAATAAAAGAGATCTAGCCCAGATTGAGAGCTGTATGGTTCTCCCTTCAAGATGTGTTTTGTACATGCTCTATGAGGTGTTAATATGCCTGATGTTGAAAATAACTTCTAATAATGTGCCCTGTGCTTGGTATCATACATAATTTATCCTATTTTTCTATCGCAAACATAACTGTCTTCAGCATCATTTATGAAAGTAATTAAATCATTTTTGTGGGTCCTTAAAGTTATAGGGCTTAGGCACATCACCGACTCCTAACAGGTAAGTTTGTTTGTGGATTCCCCCCACCCCATCCCCAGGGTTAGATCCTCGTTTCCTACATGGAGCTTCTTGTAGGAATATAGTGTGAGGACAGGGCCAAGGCAATGCTTGAGACACGAAAGTCTCCTTGATTTACAGCAAACATGGCACATGGTTTTATAACTAACTGTTGAGGATTGGTGCAGCTTTCCTCTTTTCAGAGGCTAAATATTGGCAGCAGTAAGGCTGTTTGTCACTCACAGATTTTTTTCAGCCCCGAAGGGTGATTGCAAAGATGGTGTGTCTCCTTTGCCAATGCTTGCTGTCAATCCAGGGATAGAAAAACTCCTAAAGCCCACCTCTGGCCTTCAGTTTGGTTGTTTCAAATAAGTAGTCATTGATTTTCCTCCTCAATGTCTGTATGCCAATCAAAGCAGAGAGCTCTCTATTCTGCTGGCTGTGCCCAATATCTGCAGTTGCACATTTTCTCTCTTGGTGTCCACCTCTATAGTACTTGGAAGCCCTTAGCCCTTCTTCATAAATACTGAGACCAGTGTTATTTATATTTCATTTCTCATCCTCACTTTTGGACAATTTGAGAAAAGAGCAGAGATATTTTTTGCTGTGATATCTTAGCATCTCCTCTTACTTCTTTTAAATTTATTTTTCCATATTTTGATTGATTGTAAACACTTAGCCCTGTGCTGGCACATAGTAGGAGCAAAATAAATGGTGGATATTATCAGCTATCAGTTTTCAGAAATCTCATCCTGTTCTCTCTCATCCTGCTTTATTATTTTTTTATTTCACCCATCCCCCACCCCCTCCCCTTTGGCAACTATCAACTTGTTCTCTATAACTATGTATCTGTTTTTGTTTTGTTTATTCATTTGTTTTTTTAGATTCCATATATAAGTTAAGTCATACCATATTTGTCTTTCTCTGTCTGACTTATTTCACCTAGCATAACACCCTCTAGGTCCATCCAGGTTGTCACAAATGGCAAGATTTCATTCCTTTTTATTGCTTAGTAATATTCCAACATATATATCTTCTTTATCCATTCCTCCATCAATGGACACCTACGTTGCTTCCATACTTTTGCTATTGTAAATAATGCTGCAGTGAACATAGGAGTGCATATATCTTTTTGAATTAGTGTTTTTATTTTATTTGGATAAATACCCAGAACAAGAAGTGGGCTGGGTCATACGGTAGTTCTATTTTTAAGTTTTTGAGGAACCTCCATACTGTTTTCTAGAGCAGCTGCACTAATTTACAATCCCACCAACAGTTCCTGAGGGTTACCTTTTCTCTACATCCTTGTCAACACTTGTTCAAGTTTGTTGATTTTTTTTGATGATAGCCATTCTGACAGGTGTGAGGTGATATCTCACTGTGGTTTTCATTTGCATTTCCCTGGTGATTAGTGATTTTGAATATCTTTTCATATGTCTGTTAGTCAACTTTATGTCCTCTTTGGAGAAATGTTTTTTTACGTCCTCTGCCCATTTTGTAATAGGATTGCTTTTTTTTTTTTTTTGGCGTTAAGCTGTATGAGTTCCTTATATATTTTGGATTATCAGCCCCTTATCAGATGTATTATTTGAGGATATTTTTCCCCATTCAGTAGATTGTCTTTTTGTTTTGTTGATAGTTTTCTTCGCTGTGCAAAAACTTTTTATTTTGTTATTGACGGATCCACTTTTAAAACAATGTCAAAAAGTAGCAATCCCACGGCCTCTCTCTGACTTTAACCAAGATGTTTCCTCCTCAGTCTGGCTCTTGGAGGTTATGCAGGCCTCTCCCTCTCTTGGCTAGATTTTTTTTGTAATTCAGTTTTTAAATTTATTTTCATCACTTTTTCTTCATGATCCAGATATTTTTAAATGCAAAGAAAATGAACATCCCATCATATATCAGGGACTGGCCTTGAAAAAATTTCCAGACCACAAATGAGTTATACAAATGAAAATATCAAATGGAGATACAGTTATCAAAAGTACTCAATATATTAAAAGTTCACAATTATTTGTTTAGAGCACTTAAAAGTCAGCTTGCTAACCAATTGTTGTGATTTTAAAGAACTATTGCAGAGATTTGAAGAAAATGGATTTATTAGTTAACTCATAAAGAGGTTAAAGAGCTTGAAACAAGTATTAAAAACAAATTTGTGCCTTTATTAGAATGGCGTTAGGCTTTAAATATTACCAATTTTGGTAATCAAATTATTCATTTTTAATAAATGAAACAACAGAACTCAATACTGGTCCAACAGTCTTGTCTGTACTTTTCCTTTAAAGCAACAAACAGAATGCAAGTAATCAGAAAGCACTAGCAGGCATCAGTTAATCCAAGATACCAGCTTCTTAGTTCCAAAGTACTTTCACAGAAAACCATTTGAGTGACACGGGGGGTGGAAGCAATTTATAATAACTGGAATTCCATGAGCCTGTGTGTATGCCAAGCTATTTTTGAATTAATCCTTTACTTGGTCACTTTTTTTTTGTCCTCAAACACTAGTTTTTCTTTGAATTTTTTCCTCAGAGTATAAAAAGTATGAAATATAAACAAGCTCTTGCACTGCACACTTAGAAGTGTACAATTCAAGCATTATAGAGCTATCTTCATACCGATAAATCCCATCAAATCTTGGATAATTCAATAATTCACAAAATATCAAGGCACAGAAAGAACTGAAACATACTTCTTTTTGTTACACATAAGATTCAAATATTCAAGATTAGTTCTTAGGAATCGTCAAGGTGGACTTGCAATTCCACAATTCTGTCAATCTATGCTCAAAATAAGTTTATTGAGCTTATAGGAGTTTTCTTCCTCAAAACAACAAAAACAAAAACCCACAAATTATTGCCTTTTCTACAATGCTATTAAGACTGTCCCCCATAGATCACTCAATTGCCTTTTGTACAGAGTGGTATATCTTTGAAAATGTCTGGGCATAAATATTTCACATATATTTCTATAACACTTGTGTAGTGCTTACTATGCACCAGTCATTGTTCTAAATATTTTCCAAATATTTTTCTTCACTACAACACTAATTATGAAGGACTCCTAAGCGTTTTTAGCTGCAGTAAGCATTGGGCTAAGCACTGGGCTTGAGTCTACACTTGTACTCTGATGTGGATTCATTACTAAAACTCTGGAGCACTTAAATTTTCTCAAGGAGCACATTGGATTTCTTATAGAATGCATCTGACCACCCAAGTGCTGGCCAAACTCAACCCCAAGTTCCTGCTCCCAGAGCTCCAGGTAGCATGGAGGGCTTTGATTTCAGCATCATTGCAAATACTTAAAGCAAGCAGCCTCCAGTAAATCATTTCAGTTTAATTACTAGCCCCTTTGGGATTATTGGCTGCAGGATATGAAGGGCTGGGTCAAAAGACATCTCCAAACTTTCCTGCAAAGGCTAGAGTGAGGTCTTCCCTCTTTTCTTCTCACGACCAAACCATCTTGTAAAATGGAACAAAGCCCCTTCTTCTGGGCAGGCACCCCACCAAATCTGGAGTACTCAACTGAGCAGCGATGTAGACCCCTCATTTAGTACACTTGAACACAACCCAAAGACATAGACACCCTTCTGCTTTCTAAACTCATGACTTCATTGGTCAGAAACCTTTCAGGGTCTTTGTAAAATTTTGTGTGTGTGTGTGTGTGTGTATGTGTGTGTGTGTGTGTG